TTGCAATATTCCAATTAGTTTTGCTACTAAAACAGTTCTACACCGTGTCAGAGGACTGTCCCGAGTAACCCCGCCCATCCCGAGTAGCCCCGGTTGACGGTATTCCATGCCTAGAAAAGACGCCAATATCTTAAGATGAAAGACCCTACTCCACACTCGGGAAGATGTATATAAACGGGGAAATTTCCCGCGCATAAATAGTTTTTTGAAGCCCTAGGTCAGTGCAGTTTGCGCAAAGCAATCTAATTATATTTTCTTTGTGCAGGCATTTGCGCAACTCATGGTCGTCAATTCTACACTGTGCAGCACTCAGCGCGGGCCGCGGAGCCGTCCGACACAGCTCTGATTTAGATACAGTTTTCATCTGGATGGAATGGCAACATCGTCTGTAGATTTCAAGTAACACTGAAGCCAGCATTGCCAGATGGTCTATTTCTATACCAGATTCCACAAATCTGGTATTTTCAGAAGGTGTCTGGTACGAATATTTTAGATCTGGTATATATGCCTAAATCTGGTATTCTTCTGGTATTTTCTGACTTACTGCAAATTTACTGCATCAAGTTCCACCTCTGAAGTTCGAACTTCCTCCAGCGTAGGCGTGGATTATATTATTATTTATATAGATTGCCTTCAGAGCGGCGTGATTAGTGCTTTCCCGCCATTTTTGGAACTGCAAGTTTACCGCTTGATGAAATAACCCCAATCTAATTGTTAACATTTAACGAAAGTGCTTGCTATTTAATTTAACGTGCAAACGGATGTCATGTCAACCGGAACTCGAACACCACAGCAGAGAGTATCGTATGCAGCTAATGAATTTCGCAAACTTTGCTGGAAGAGAGATTATTGACTTTTAAAAAAAAGGCAGGATAATTCAATGAAGGGTGGTGGCAGAACTGCGATCTTGATACTCTATTGCGATTTGTGCTATGATAACCTACGTAACAATTTTCATATGATAGTTATAATTTTTGCACATTCAAAGTACACATGACATAACATAACGCACCCAGATTTGGAAACCATAATTGCTCAAATAAAGCAAAAATAAATGACAGACCATTGACTTATCTTGCAAATATATATATTCATTTTATGTATCACATAGCATAATTACGCTCTGTAATTATGCCATATTGACCTAATTTGTATAGTCCATTTACGCGCATTGTTATTAGGTATTGATCGTGTCGATTTTGCCGGCCGGGAGGATCGTACTGTTGACATACAGGTTCATACCCTACTTGCCGCAACCAGTCCAGTCATTCATTAGAAGGCACCGCCGCACCGATGGCACATCTAAAGCCATGTTGCCTTCTTTAGTTCTGTAATTCATGTCCGATTGAATTGTGATCTATGAATGAATATTCATTACTGTGCTGACTCTTAGAACCTGAGTCCTGAGTTGACGCGTTAGCAATCTAGTTAACTCGTATCCAACCACAACACAGTGCAGATACACGTTTGTGTGTACGGTCAGTGTGATTACGTAATTTGCATTGCCTCGTGTCCATATTGAAACTATTTTATCTTTCTAAAAGTATGGCGCATGGCGCATTTTTTTTACCGGCATAGTACGGCGCACCGCGCAGGTCGTTAAAATGACAATATGAATTCCCGCGCACTTAGCACATCTTCCTGACCATGGCTTTAGAGGTGCCATCGGTGCCTTCTAATGAATGACTGGACTGGTTGCGGCAAGTAGGGTATGAACCTGTATGTCAACAGTACGATCCTGCATGCCAATGTTGGGACTACATTACCGACATCCTCCTGGCCGGCAAAATCAACACGATCAATACCTAATAACAATGCGCGTAAATGGACTATACAAATTAGGTTCAATATGGCATAATTACAGAGCGTAATTATGCTATGTGATACATAATATGAATATATATATTTGCAAGATAAGTCAATGGTCTGTCGTTGATTTTTGCTTCATTTGAGCAATAATGGTTTCCAAATCTGGGTGCGTTATGTTATGTCATGTGTACTTTGAATGTGCAAAAATTATAACTATCATAACGGTTGAAGCTGTAGAATTAAATTAAATTAAAAAATTAATTAAAATTTACTAAATCAAATTTTATTATTTAATACACTAGATGGTACAAGCTGTAGAATTAAATTCTATTAGAAAAATGTTGAATTAAAAATCTGATTATATTTTTTAAATTAAAAATTAATTTTTATTAAATTAAATTGTATTATTAATGCACTATATGGTACATGCTCTATGTTTTATATAATGAAATAGTTTCCCATGTTAAATAACGAAAATTTTCTAAAAGACACAAAATGTTCGAAAACGCGGGATGGCAGACGAAATCATTTAGAATCTGAGGTGAAGTTAATTATATAGACAATATTGACAAAATAGGCAGAAAACATGAAAAAATGTATGTCTGGACGCGTATTAATTGGTATTTATAATTTGAAACAAATTTCCATCATTTAAATGTCAGTATGGAATGTGGATCAAGTCTAATTATTGTGAAATCGAACTTCACAAGACCAAAAAAGGTGTCTGACACTGTCTTGTCTAATGTCAACAGTCAACACAATGTTGCCATACGCCGTGAAAGTTTAGCAGTTTATCCCATCATTTCGTGTGGATTCGAGAACTTTGTGGGTATCAATGAAATCGTGAGAACTTTCTGCGAAAGATGACGTAATTTTTATTTTATTTTGGAACATATTCATTACAAAAAAATTCTCGATACGCATACACGACTAGTGTTTGCATTTGGGAAGAGTCGCCGACTTTTTATCGGTTTTTGAACCACACGCAAGCGAGATAAAGGAAGCGCGGCTGTCCGGGTGTCCGCAGTTTCTGATCTGACAAGCTCAGTGTAATGAGTATCAATTGTCACTTTGGTGGAAGGTGGTAAGTTTTCGATACATTTTATTATGTTAACATGATAATATATTACCTATACAGAATTCCATACTGCATAAGTGTTTTATGAAGTTTGCCTTGCTTAGTAGGGGGGGAACCGATGTATAAATTCATTTTTTTAAGCAAGTCAAATCATTTAATTGTGCCAAGTACATTTTTACTGTGTTGTACCAAGGAAATTATTGTAATGTATATCTGATTTACTGTAAATAATTTTTTTTGTATTGTCTGAGTTAAGTGTATATTATGTCTGTAAATATTTTAGTCTGCGTTTGTATAAACCAACCGATTTTAAGGCTATAAACAAATTTTTGAAAACAGGCATGAAGGATTGTGCTAGTGGGGGGGCATGTTACCGGGGGTTGTAAATACTATTTTTATAGCACAACCTTCCTGCATACATGGTCTTTGTTCTCATTTTTAATAATATATTGAGTGGGCAGGTAGAGCATTAATTTTACTTTGTGTTAGTTAATATTATTCTTTTTTTTTTATTTCTTTACAGTATTACAGAATTACAGTATTACAGAATTCAACCAGCAAGTGCAATAGTCTGATCAAAGTGCTCATTGAAGTTATCTGCCCCATAATATAAGCATCATCACCTGTCCATGTTCCTCTTTATTCCTTAATTCTTTACTACTTCTTTTCCCCCCAATTTGCAAGTTCTTAACTACTTGTTCTGGCACAATCCTTGACTTCTCTCATAAGCCGCTGATCCCATGTAATAAATTATGTATCGTTGTTTTAACTCTGTTTAATAAAACTCAGAAAAACACCAACTTTAATTCCCCATAAACTAAGTAGCTGCAATAGACAAATGCAAGCTGATGACGAGTTCATCACACCCGCATAACAATAGTCAAACTGCTAAAGCGTCCATATTTAAACTATTTTAGCTTTCTAAAAGTACGGCGCACAGCGCATTTTTTTACAGGCATAGTACAACGTACCACACAGGTCGTCATAGTGGCAAAGTAGAGAGTTTTTTAGACTCTCCCTCAAGTTCATTTTTGAGTCCTATAAGTAGACCAGTAAAGTATCCTGGATACTAGCATCATCATACTTAAGAAATTGGTTTAAATCTTGGGTAAATGAGGAAATTAAAAATGAACTGATTCTAAAAAAGCTGTGGTTTGCCACTATGCAGGTCGTTAAAATGACAAGATATATTCCCGCGCACCTGGCACATCTTCCTGACCATGGACCCTTAGTCACCCTACTCAAGCCATGGTCAGGAAGATGTGCCAGGTGCGCGGGAATTTTTTTTGTCATTTTAACGACCTGCGCGGTGCGCCGTACAATGCTGGTAAAAAAATGCGCCGTGCGCCGTACTTTAGAAAGTCGACAATATACGCGAGCATATTGACTACGCGAGTCGAACTGACAATAATAAAATGTAAGACATGTCCGGGTTACTTCTGACTCTTCCGCATTCAAATCAATTTTCATTACATTGCGCGAACTGTGCACAGCAATAGATTAAAAAAAGTGAAAATACGCGGGAAAATTCACCGAAAACATACATCATCCTGAGTGTGGTACTCAAGTAGCCTACCTACTTTACAGCCTGGGACTTTCTACAATTTCTTCACTTAATAATAAGAATAATGATTTATTTTCACCTGAAATTTTAGAAAAATCTCTCCTAATATGATTGTTTTGGCCTATAATTCAAGAATATGTCTGTGCATTGTGCAATATTTCAAATTAGAGAGAGTGTACCTATAAAAAAATTACATTGCATTGATGGCAACATATATCTTTCATATACATTAAATTTCCTATAATAATAAAACTAATGATGATCAAGATTCATGATCACAAATATTTTTAGGTACCTAACACAAGGAAAAAAATGACAGTATTATTAATTAAAATTTTTCAAAAACTCTTAGCTGCCATAATCTGGCTAGAAAGTGTGCCAATTTCATGTGTCTTTATCACTTCATGTTATAACTAACTTAAAATAAGCAGGAAGAGACTGAAGAGTTAGAAACTTAAGAGTGGCACAGTGGGCTCAGTGGCACTAGCTAAAAATATCCGCACAAACATTGAAAATAGCAACCAACAAGTAGTCAAGTAGAAACTTTACCTGACGTTTCTTCAGAAGGATAGCATCGTTCAAGTTTAGATCCAAAGTATATAAGTGAACACAAGAAATTTTAATAGACATTGCTTCGCACATTACGATATTCCTCCCGAAACCCCTCGGTATATGCGGTGTCTATGGTTCTGACACATACCGTCACCGTGACGTACGGTGAAGCGGATATTCTGGTATAAACAGAGTGCGCTGAAGATAAAGTGGAGATGAAAATTATTTATAATTCTTCGCATCTATCATTAAGACTATAAACTACATTAAAAAGGTTGGCGAATGAATTATCATGTGATTATTTGATTTATTTACGTTTAGAAAGATAATTTCAGGGTTAACGAGAGGTATAAATTATTTATTAGAATTTTCGAAATTTCAAAAGAAGCTGCATTCATAATGAAGAATTTTGCATACATATGCTAGATCTCACCCTTAATTGATTTTTATAAACGTCGAGCAATCGAAATTAGACTATATTAATCTTCCGTTTCACCTCATGACCGTTGTTTTCTCCCTTATTCTAACTGAGCTCATTTTTGCCTGAGCACTAATCGAGTTCAAGCTCCATCAGGATTTTGACTATGTTCGGACACATTTAATATTATAAAAATGGCTCTCATATGATGTAATCTAATAGTCCTAGTGTTCAGGAACACGCGTCGTAGTCTACCATAGGTTTTTTTATTAAGGTCTTCGGGAATGAACTTACAACTACGTGCCTCGAAGGAAAACATCTGTCAACATTCAACAAATGAAAATAAAATGGAACATCAAATTAATTTATAGTTGTAGTCAGTTGGATTCCTATACATGCTTCTACGCTGAGTGGATAATATTTCGACGCTCTTCAGTTTCACAATTTCTTTTCCTTACTGAAAATAACTTATTTTCCCTGGTGACGTCTACCGTCGCTCGAGTAGCTCATTTAATGATCAGCTTTTCGTCATTTTATTGTAGGCTACAGATTCGAAATCTAATTAAAATTTTATTCTGCTAACCATTAGATAAATTTTAGTGCATTTTAATTCCTTCATAACTTCAATTAAGAAATGAATGCGTAGTTGCGTGTTCAACGCTGCGCACTCCTCTTAACCCAGTACCCAACGCTTTAAATTGATCGTAAAAAGGTGCTTTCCTGCCGACCAGTTGCGATGCAGCTGCAATGAGAGGATGTCCCTCATACCGCGGCCACATCGACATGTTGCATTGGAGCTGCACAGCTAAATCGAGGTGATGCATTGCTGCGTTCCACAGGACTGTGCTTAGTGATTAATAGATTAATACTCCTTGCTAACTGCTTAGGCGTTCAATTAGGACGTCTGCACTGTGCTGCGTGATTATTAATCCTTGATAACTACTTCGGCATTCTGAGGATTTCCCCATGTCATAAATAGTAATAGTACTCATGTAGAAACTTATCAAAACAACGAAAAAATCACTAAGTGACCGGGGTCTCATTTTTCTCTGCCCTCTTCCGCACTTAATTAATTTAATTAAAATGAAGATAATATGTGTTAGATGCTTAGTTTATTGCAGATTCTTTTGTTGTCGTACAAATCCCAAATAATGTCGTATTTGAAGGCTTTCTAAAATAATCCATCAGCAGTGAAAAAAGAATTTAAATTGAACACGACGCTGTTAAACATTCTTGGAATAAGTAAAATTTCAATAATCATTGATTAGAATAGAAAGTTCTAGGCTTGATAATACACGATGGATGAGAATTCAGATTATTACGCGGTAACTCAGCGTCTAAGGTAACTGTGGGAACCGGAGATCGTACTATCAAAAGTAGTTGAGAGTCTGTAACTCTGTCTGCCAATCACTGATATTTTCTCGAGCTAAGCCCGCGAATCACAGACGAGAATTCATCCGTTACATGTACTTATGAGAGTTTTGATAATACAGCCTCAGACTTCCGACGAGAAAAGCATTAGCGAAGTCAACCGTAGTCAAAGTGCTGAACTAAGTTAAAAAGTCATCCAACGCGCCATGATAAGCTTTGGAAAAATTCAGGGCATATACGTATGTATTAACGATGACAATTTGCATGATTATTTATATGAATTATATACTGGCCACATTAAATCAAATCTGTCACCATTAATAACAATATTATTAATGAACCTACAATTATTTAGGGGTGCCTGCGAATATTTGGTAGGGGGCTCAATCCTCTCCCTCCCCCCCCCCCCCAGGGCTAATGATATCACAGTTTGTTGGTAGCTTTCGCAAAGACGTGAGGGCCAAAGTAACGACAGAGCTGCGTTCATTGAGTGAAAGTATTGACGTAGCTTCAATAAGGATCGGCCGCCGGAAACGAGAAATACCGGAAGCGCCAAAAACCGGAATGAGTTGCTGGGATTATGACGAACGCACCGAGGGAGGCAATGTGAGTGCGAGGGAGGGTAAGTGATTGCATCAAGTTCATTATCAGCGCTGGCAGGCTGAATGATTGCATCAAGTTCATTATCAGCGCTGGCAGGCTGAATGATTTCATCATAACAGATCCGAAATTATCAGTGAGCTGAGTATCAACAGGAATGGTAATAAATGTGATGGACAATGAATACACAAAGAAGTTTCAAGTAGCTTACCTTACCTAATTTCTACTTGCGTGATCGGGCAGAATATTTTTCAATTAAATTGCGTGATCGGGCAGAATTTATGGCTCATATACAAGTACCGCTGTAATGTAGACTTATTGATAACATGAAGTGTTTGCATGCAGAAAACTAACTTGATTATTCCGCTCAATTTTCGTCATAATATTGACACATTGTGCAAATTCAGTTCTTGTGACAGCAAATGGATTCATTCGTGTCCGAAAAAAGTCTCGTGCATTTTTTTATTTATAGAAAATTAATGTAACTGGGAGACAAGTTCTGGTGGTAGTAAAATCAACTCCACTTCAAAACTGTTATAAAACAGTCCATCATTGCAGGATATTTGTATTCACGTCTATTATAAAGAAAAACGAAAAACGATTTAACCTTTATTTATTTTTCTGGCGATCAAAAATGAAGAGAAATGTTGTTAAAAAGGCATTAACCGAACGAAGCTTTTGTTGTATCATATCAAATGTTTGAAAATACTTATTGAGAGAAAATAACCGTTGGTTCTGAGATAAGGTAACAATGAAATGAATAGAAGTTTACCTATACTTACTGAGAATTTCGATAGTATCAAAATCATAAAATAAGTATCGTTGGAAATAGATATGCATTTGAATAAAAAAGAAACAATAGCTTAACAATAAAGTTAACGGCCATGAAAGTATGCTATATGTTTATTCATCGTAAAAACATGTTAAGAAAAAATAGGTACGTAATTCAATTTTTCATTACTAAACTAGATGTTAATGGCTGAGCTTGATGAGCTGCACACGGACATTGATATTTAATTGAAAAATCGTGAGTTTCAATAGGAAATCACAGTGGTTTTTCAAGTTGAGTCAATGTCCATATACTTTGTTACAAATGTGTTGGTATAGTTACTGACATACTGACATGGGTCCAATATTCAGTAAGGGTTGTACGTTTCAATAACAATTTCCCCTCATAATCTACGCACATTTCGACAAATTCATCTTATATGTTACATTCACAGCATTTATTGTCTGGTCTCATTTTGAATGTAGTGACAAGTTATTCGCCAAAAGCAAATCTTTTAGATCACAAACATATATGTGAAATCTTCTTTTAATTCGTTCAGTGACTGGATAAATACATACAAGTCAATTTTCAAAAGGCTCACGGAATCTTAATATATTTGTAGTTTGAAAAATATTTGAAATATTTACGTTGCTGTGAACATGAAAATAGATAAATCTTTGCTTGAAAAAGCAGGATAATTGTTGGAGCTTTAATGATTGTTTCATTATTGCCTTGTAGACCTTTAGGGTCGTGGGAAATTTAGCATAGCGATAATGCAGAAACAATATTAAAGCCTGCTGTCTTCGTTTGAAATTGCAGGTGTTTCCTTTATTTTGTCCAACCCTTGTATGCCAATTATTCCATTAATCCTTCACATAATAATGGATCGTGCGTTAATGAGGGTGTAGTCGGCTCTCTGTGAAGTGTATGTTCTATCCCTGCGTCGTCCTCCGGGCTAGAAAAACGTTCTTCGCATATCTGGGAATCGCATATGAAAACCTGTATTTGTCAGGCCAAGTCCAACTGTACCTGGAAGAAATAACAATTAGGAGAAATCTTTTAATTTTTTATGCTTCAAGGCGGGATGTCCCATGTAATTACTAGGACTAAATTTGAAGTCTTTTACGAGGCTGCGAAGGACTGTTTCAACGAAATGTATATCCTATATTAAAGTAATTAAAATCAGTGACCCATGACGGCCTAGGTACGTCATGCATCAAATAAAACGGAATTTTTTTAAATACAATTTTTTAGATACCATAACAAAGTATTCATAAAGCAGAAAGCGGTGGGCAGTTATTTGTCAGTCGCTAGCATAACGAAGTAACGGAAAATGCGGGCGATGCTATTTGCCAGTCGCTAGCATAACGAAGTAACGGAAAATGCGGGCGATGCTATTTGCCAGCCGCTAGCATAACGAAGTAACGGAAAATGCGGGCGATGCTATTTGTCAGTCGCTATATAGCATAAGGAAGTAACGGAAAATGCGGGAGATGCTATTTAACATAACGAAGTACAGGAGAATGAGAGCTAATATTTCTCTCATTGTTTTGCGATCGTCGACCTCTGCTCTCCGTTTGCAACGGTCAAGTGAATCGTAAATAAACAACAGTCATCGGGCACACTGTGTTGTGTTTCCCGAAGGTCGTCACTTGCCGCCTAGAAGCGAGTTGAAAAAATTCGAAGTTTGACGAAGCGACTCGTTGAGACAAGGGCATCGAAGATATTAAGCATGTTGGCGACTCTATTAGCTATCGCAAGGATTAACATCGTGTCAACGGAAAGATAAAGAAATATGAAAAACTCTCTGCCAAGTAATAATAATGACTAAAATGCATCGTGAGAAATATTTGCGAATAAATTATTGAATTTTACATGCAAATAGTCGGTGAATTAACAGTATCCAATATTGTGAAGTTTGTACCTTAGCGAGTAAAATATGAGTTGTAAAAAAATCCACTCTCGACCATTTCCTTCCTAACAAAACCCATGCAA